TAATTTACAAACCTATGTGCAGGTTACATAATCAACATGCAAAAAAGTCAGTAAAATTGTGTATAACCTCAATAGGCTCAGTGACAAAGAAATTATGAAAACAATACAATTCACAATTGCATCAAGAAAAATGTAGCACCTAGGAATTAATCCATCCAAGGCAAACAAAAAGATCTACAGTGTAAAAAGTGTACTCTGAAAAGGAAATTGAACAGGACATCAGAAAACGGAAAGATGTGCCCTGTTCTTGGACAGGGGAAACCGAAACAGTCACAGGGCCGTACTACCCAAATGATACACAGATTCAACACAATTCCAATCAAACTACCAACAGCGTTCATCACAGAAATAGAGAAAACGATCTGTAAATTAAAAAAGAATCAAAACAAACTCAAAATAGCAAAAACCAAATCCTGGGAGCAAGAACAAAGAGGAAAATATCACTCTAAGTGACATGAAGTTATACTACAAATAAAAGCGATAAAAACGGTATAGCACTGACACAAGATAGATCTGTGGATCAGTGGAGAAAAATACAGATACAGTAATGACCTTAGACATAGTCAGCTACTTGATCTTTGACAAAGTGTCTAAAACCACATGCTGGTGGCAAAATAATCTTTATAAAACGTTATCTTGAAAAAAGTGGCTATCAATATGCAGAAGATTGAGCCTGATCCATTTCTCTCACCATGCACTAAACTCAAATCAAGGTGAATCAAATTTTTAAGCATCACAAACAAAACAATAATCCTAGTAAATGATAAAATAAATAAATCATTGGAAGTCAAAAGTGTAGCCTGGACATTCAGAATGGAATTTCAATTGCACAATAAATAACACCAAGAATCTACACATGGCATTAGGTCAAATTAAAAACATTTGAACAGCAAAAGAATTAATCGGCAGAGAGAAGTGACAGCCTACAAAGTAGAAAATAATCTAATTACCCATGATTCCTCAGATAGAGGGCTGACTTTTAGAATACATAAAATCTCCAAAAATGAGACCACCAAAATAAATGACCCAAATCAGTAAATGGACAAGTGAATACACTTTTCTCCAAAGAAGTACAAACAGCGGAAAAAAATATGAAAAAATGTTCAACAGTGTTGACCATTAGAAAAATGTAAATGAAAAAATGCTAGGGCTTCATTTCATACCACAAAGAATATCAACCTTCAAGAAATCAAATAATAAAAGTACTGGCGGGGTGGCATTAAAAAAGGCAAACCTTTCTACTTTGATGTTGGAAATGTAAACTAGTACAATGCCTGTAGAAATCAGTATGGAGATTTCTCAATGAACTAAATTTACAAATTCAGTTTGACCTAGCTATTCCTCTTCTAGTTATATTCCCAAGAAACCTAAAGACATCACATTACAGTGATACATGCATAGCAATGTTCTTTGGTGCACAATACATGTTAGAGCAGCATGTATGTCAATAAACTAAGCAAATGTATAAAAAAAATCGTGGTGTCTATACATAATGGGATATTACTTTAAAGTATGTTAAATTCGAGGCATTTGTAGAAAAAGGAGTACACCTGGAAAATGGAATATTAAATAAAAGATATCAGAAACACAAGCTTAAATGATGTGTTGTGTCTCTCCTTGGAGTAAGGAAAAATACAAATTAAGAGCAAAATGAAGGATTGATACAAGGATTCACATAGACAGATCATTTACAAATGGGATGGGATACAGGAGACCAAGGGTAAGGGTAGGGCAAGGGTAGAGGGAGGGGAATACTAAAAAAATTAAAACGCATCATGCACATTTATTCTATAGAGAAAAGAAATGTAAATATTATAATTCATAAATCAAAATAAAATAACAATGATAACAACAATAACCAAAAAGAGGAAAGGAGATTTAGATTCAGAGGGAGCAAAGGGAGTGGAGAAGGGAAGAGAGATAAAAATGAATCCAAGCATATTATACGCATGTACCAGTTCCCTCAGATCAAAGTAAGCTTCATGTATTAGAAACATGTACTACTAAAAATATTGCACCTACCCGAAGAGTTATACCTATTTTTTACCATGTGCTCCAATGTTATTATATAGCAACGTATAGTAATCACTTGACAGTCATGAGTATTTTAATATAACTAACTCAAGATTTTTAATGTTGAATAAATTCATGAATATTAAGTAAATTAAACAAGCAGTTGCCTGTTTATGCTCACTAAATACCAGTGGGTTGACGATTGATTAGTTACACCTGCCTAGTAGCTACTCTATTGCATAGTTCAGGCCCAGGGCATTCTTTCTTGGCAGCACTGCCAGGAAAATAGTGAAGGGAAAATTTTATGTCTGAAGCTCTTCTACCTTTGGTACAAAACCAAAATTTTCTATATTTTAATCTTCTTTTGACAAGTACTTTAAAATAGTAACACATTGATATGTATATGTCTCATAGTAAAAAGACATTAGAACTTTTGTGCTGCTATAACAAAATGCATGCGAATAGATAGCTTTCATACAATAAAAATTATTTCTTGCTGTTGTGGATGTTGAAATGTCCCAGATCACCATGCAGGCATGGGGAAGGCTTGCATCCTCTTGCTGCACTCTCAAAAGGAAAAGGTGGAACTGAAGGGAATGGCAAAAGAAAAGAGTTGTGTGTTCTCATATAAGCTTAATGTAAGAATAGCTTTATGGTGGGAAAAGGACTTAATCTGAAATTTGTGTAAGTGTTGGGGTCTATGGGGAATAACACAATGGGTGAACCCACTTTCAATTCCTTTTGTAACTGCCCTTATTTTATATATGAGGGATATATTCACATCACTGAACTTTCAAATACCCCTACCCTTCTTAGTACTACTGCATTGGACACTATCCATCAGCATATCAGTGGGCAGGAGCATATACATCATAGCATCTCCCTACTCCTTAAGAACAGTAGGTTATTGCAGTGTCTTAAGAGTAGTGATAGTAATAATCTGCTAATTTGATTAGACATTTGTATGTATGTATGCAAGTTCTACAAAAAAAATTGGGATTTTTCAATACACAAATATATTTTCCTAAAATGACTTTTAACTTTCTGGGCAGGTAGATCGAAGCTAGTATAACTATCTTGGTCCAGTACTCCATCATATTTATGTACACGTTGTGACACCATTTATGTTGCACCATTACATATTTCAAAAATGTAAATAGTGTACATTTCCTTACATATGCCATTGCTGGTCTTTATTTGACTAGCTAAAAAGGGCTTATGAAAAGTCCAGTGTCATATTGAATGCATTAAGCAGCTTCATTTTGATATATTTATCTATCAAAGAGCCTTGGAAGAGAGAGGTCCCTCCAGGGAAGAGGGTAGATGTGTTTGTCTCATGACCAGATGAATAACAATACCTCCTTCTGGGGCAGAGTTTGAGCAGGCTTGTTAGCAGTCCCTAAAAACTGAGGTCACTCAGCTATGCCGCAAACCCATTGTGGGTGCATCACCTGCTGGGTGTGCTCCATGTCTCCTACTCAGGATGTAGCAGGCGAATGCAACTGACAGGAATGTAGCTTAGGACACTTGCTGTTTCACCACTAATCAAGCCCATTGTCTCTAACCCAGGAGTCCGTGTTACTCTGCCGCCTTCCACTAAACATGTGACAGAATAACAAGTGGGCTTGCAAGCTAGACTTTAAAATCCTACTTGGGTAAATAAGGCAAATATGAGTCCAGTAAGTCTCTTTTGAGAAGCCATCTACAAACCAAAGGGCAGTGCGGGGAATATTGCTTATATTACTGTTGTTTCCTTAAAGGCTGCATTGAAACTGAGGGATGAGTCGATAGTAGAACATCAATTTTTCACCTTGTAAACTATGCAGAAAACTTCACATAGAGCACTACGTGATCTAACTTCTTGTCATGTGTTAAAGAGTTCCATTTCTTCTCATGTAACTCTATACTGAAAGACATCCTTTTCAAGCACAAACATATTTTATTTTGATCCTGCTGAGCACTAGAATTCTGATGTGCTTGAAAAAATATGTACACAGCTTAAAAGTTAATTTTACATAGAAGGGTTGGTTGTAGCAACTGCAAGGACACTGGGTGCTGTAAAATGCAGTCACTACATGAATCTTCAAGCAAATGGCTATCCTTAGAAACGGGATGGATAATGCTTCTATTAAGCACCATAAACTGTTGAAAGCTTTCTTGAGATGAAGCTTCGAGATCCCATTCTCCCATTACCATTAAGGATGAAATGGTCAACCTTTTACTTTGATGGAGAGGTCCTCTCTTGGGCATTTCTGCTGCTCTTTCCAGTGTGTATATAAACTTTAATTTCCTATATCCCCTGGCTATCAGCAATTTCCTTCTCCAACCAGGGCATTAGTCTTTCACATTTCACACCTACCATGGCTGATGGGAGAGAGGCAGAATGGGCAAAGCAGAAGAGGTGCAAGAGGTGGGATGTATGCAGAATTGGAAATTAAATATTTTCCTTGCAAAATTTCTTGATGCATTTCATGTTTTGGTGAAACCTGGACCTCAAAATGAAGGAGAAGGCTCAACACTACTCTTGGTCCAAACCGAAACATCTACAGACACAGGTGCTGCAAAGAAAAATACATCCCTAACTAGCCTTGTAACCTTCACTCACGTTTTCTTATTTGTTGGCAGTTTTAGAAGATGCTACATTAAAAATATTCCCAAGGTTGGGTGAAATTGTTCTTCTCGTTAAAAAGATACTACTCACTCTTGTCCTTGCTTTGTTTTCCAATCCTAAATCAATCAATAAATACTTTATTTAAAACTAAATTAAAACTGTATTACTTTCTTTCCCCCCTAATCCCAGAGATCTCCCACCAAAGTTAAACTCTCCCCCTCACCAGCCACCCAACCTCCCCTCACTCATCCAATCCCCTCAATACCTCTCCGCATATGCCCTAGTATGAAACTTGTGTAGTATGTACCCACAAAGATGGGGAAGATGTGTCTTAAATGAAATAATCAACAGGCAACTAATTAACTGAACTGCCAATTTTGCCTTTATTGTTTTGGCAATCAAATTCGACTCTGGATTTTCACATGGCATACTTTTGAGTCCATCGCCGAGCTATTCTTTCATACTCTGCCCTATTCTTAAGGTAGAGATTGGCAATCTCGGGATGGAAGGAATCATTTGGGTTGGGATCGCACAGCACGTTATAGATGTACAAGAGAACCATAGAAATTGTAAGTGCTGGCGACCACTGGTTCCCGAGGATATCTAGACAGATTGTGCCATGTTTACTAATATTCGGATGGAAAATTCGGGTCGTGAATGTTACCCTGGGTGGGAAGATCGGGTAACTAGAAGGAAACGCAATGATTAAGGAAAACACTCCGCCCTGGTACGGGGTGTCATTGGGTCCTATGATGGTCGCCTGCCATACAAACAGATCATCTCCCATAGGTCCCGCAGAGAATTGGGCTGGGGGGTTCTGAGCAAGATCCGCAAGCTCTTTCTGAATCCGCTGTAGAGCCATTGTTCTCAACTCCTGGTGCCCAAAATTTGGCGCAGTTCTAGGCGGCTGGCACGGGGCACCGTTGATGTTGGACCCAAGGAGCAGCAATGAGATTCCTAGAGGAGAGAGGCATGGGTTGAGGATTCTAGTTGATCCCAGGAAAGGCGGCTGTGAGAGGAGAGAGCAGAAGAAGGCAGCTGGTGGCCAGTGCTGGACTTTACTATGGGAGCTGCTGGACACCTGTAGCTCTAGGCTGCCACCTTAGAAGGGATTTAGGGAAGCTGGGGCTCCACTTACCGCAACGAGGTTACCTGTTCCTCCGAGTCCTATTCTGCGAGAGGCCAGAGCTCCTGCCTGAGGCAGCCGGCCGCTACCTCTGGTCCTTGAAGCTAGGCCCTCTCCACAATGATTGGACATCCGGTAGGTGAGGTCACAGTGTCCACACAGAGACTGCGTCACAGATAGGCGGGGACTGATGCAGGCCGATTAGGGGGCGGGGCTATGAGGGCTGGCTTGAAAGCAGGGGTGGCTGAAACATCTCTCACCCAGCTCTTGCTCTCAGGGCTTTCAAGTAGGGCCTCCCAGTTACCAAAATAAATAAAATGAATTTTCCCCTACATCTCACTGAGTCGCTGCTTATCATTATCCTAAATTCTGTCTTCTCTTCAGATGTATCTTTGAGAGTAAGACAAACACATTATGAACCATTCTTAATTGTGTATATATTTCCTATGACACATAATCTCTGTAGCTATAACTTTAGCAAATTTAATATTCAGGAAATAATTTTAAGACCTTTATAAGGTTCTGGCAATGTTATATTTTATGAAGATACAGAGTGTAGAAATTAGATTTGGACTTAAAGCCAATTTGATTGGTGAAGAGCACTTGAGACAACAGGGATGAAGGGCAGAAAGATTAGAAACTATTACCTCATCTGCCATATAGACTTATGTGTAAATGTAACACTGATACAGTTGTTATAGCTAATCTAATAGTATATCTACATTCATTTTGTCAATTGATGCACCCTACTCTTAGTGTCTGAAAACCTCTTGTAAAAGATTCAGGCTAGGATCACATATGTTGTTTCACATTATCATGTCTGTCTAAACTGTATCTTTTTTGGGTTACTAACATTTTTGAAAAATGCAGCATACCCGCCGCTGTTCATGCACATTTGTGAGTCTTAAAGATCTTCATAATAAATTTAGTCAATTTGATTGTGAGGAAGACAAAAAATGGGAAGGACTGCTCAGCTTTGTATCATGAATATTGTAGTGAAGTTAATAGTACATCAGGATGTATTATATTAGGATGCATGTTTTGTTGACTTTTGGAAAAGTACATTGAGTTACTTTCCTTCACAGGGAGTTTGTATTTCCCAGTTTTTAATGAATAATTGAGAAGCTGATAGGTCTGGTGATTAAATTTCCAAAACTTGAAGAAGTGCAATGGTCATGTGATGCGGATGGACTGTGATTTCAGAATAAGTTCTATGCATGATGATAATGTAAATATACTTTAAAGGCATTTATTCCATCATTCTTGTCACTTGCTGAAGTAGTTTGGCAAGTCCTCATTTGTGTCTAACTGCTCTTTCTCCTGAACTTACTCAAAATATTTGCCCTTTCTGGTCATTTTGACTTTGAGGAAGACCAAACTCACAAGGTGTCATATCCCATAGATGAAGATGAATTCTAATGTATTGGTGCACCTGCTTTTCTGGTGGATGGCACTCTCAGTGGAAGCATTCATTGCAGTTTCAACCACATCTCATAAGGCTGATAAATGTATACGTATTTTTGTGTGTATTCACAAAATTGAATTAAAATGTTATTTCAATAAAATTCCTAATATGAGGTCATACATAGTTCTCTTGCCTTCTGATCCTGCCCTTCATTGTTGTCCAAATACTTGTCCTCTTCCTTTTCATCTTCGCTTCTTCTTTCCCCAGCTCTTCTCCCTCTTTCTACTCCTTACTCATCTTTCTGCCCTCCTCCATCTCCTCCAACCCTCTGCCCCATTTTCCTTCTCAACCTCCTCCTCTCCCTCCTTCACCTGCTCAATGACCTCTAGCTCCTGCTTCTCTTCTTTCTTATGTATGTGTTTCCTTGGAGAGCTAAAACAAAGAGCCACAAAGAGGGCAGGTATAAAGAACAGAAATCTATTCTCTCACAGTGGATTAGTTTTGAAATCATGGTATTGACAAGGTCATCTCACCTATAAAGAGTATAGAAAAATCTATACATGCCTCTTCCTAGTTTCTGTTTGTTCTCAGCAATTCTTATTCCTTGACTAGTGTCTGAATCATTCCAATCTCTCTTTCGTCCTTCATTCTTTTCACACATGTTGTCACTATGCACTTCAGGCTGGCATTGATCTCACTTTGTAGGCAGGCTAGGCTCAAAATTGCAGAAATTTTCCTGCCTCAGGCTACCTACTACTGGGGTTACTGGCATGCAACACCACGCTCAGCTCCAGTCTTTGTTTTGTGATAGATTTCTTCCCCATGTATATCTTGCTGTTATTTGTGGAAATCTTCTTTTTTATCAGCAATATCAATCATTGAAATAAGTATCCAGTCTCATCCACTTAGTCTCAGGCTAAGTTGATTACATTTGCGAAGACTATTGTGAAGAAAGTAGTTCAAAGTTCTGTGGAAATATGAATTTGCAGAGGCCATTCTTCAACCTACTGTATTTTTACTCTGTCTTGGAAAGTTCATATTTGTTCCATGCACAATATAAATTCTACACATTCCAACATCTCCATCGTTTTTTTACATGTTAGAAAGAACTCCAAATACATAGCCTTAACTGAGAGCCATCAATGTAAACAGTTCTAAACCTCATTACTTGACTAATCTAAATTAAGTAAAGGTGAGACTGAGTATTGTTCATAATGGAGAAAAATGATCTGCCTTTTAAGACTTGTAAAACTAGAAATCATGTAATGTCTTCCAACATTCAGTAATACAGCAGTTGTGCTTAATTTAAATTCATGTTGTTTTATTAATCACAGCCTGGCCCACTCATGGCAGTCAGAAAAGGAAGAGAGAAGGGGAAAAGCCAAAAAGGAAAGGTCTAAAAGTTGACACAGTATCGAATATCATGCCTAAGTAACACAATTCCTGCAATTAGGCTCTATCTCCTCAGTTTTTATTACATAGTAATAATCCTATCAAATTACACGTGCTTCAATAGATCAATCAACTTAAATTTAGAGCCCTTATAATGTTCTAACTTTCAAAAGACTTACCTGAGAACACTTTAGCTTTATGGTTTACATATTAAATCCAAGGAAGAAAGGTCTGTGATTTATACAATTATGTGAGTTCAAGCACAGAATAAAGTGAATTGATTAATACACAAGGTAAGAACCACAGATATTGATAGGACAAGAGAGACTCCATATTCTTATTTTTTAACTTCATATTAAGAGAAGTCACTTAAATTCACTTAAACCGTGGTTGGCCCCACTCTTCACTTCCTCTCCTTGCTGAGTTATCAACTCACTTAAAGAGCAGAGTCATCAAATGGGAACAGGACAAACAGGACAAATTGGGAAGTAGGCTAGAAGTTAAACTGCAGCGGTTGCCTGGAACCCGCCTGTCTGACAGCTTCTGGGAAAAGTACACTTCGTGACAATTGTGTGACATTCTTGTAAGGTTCCCAGAAATGAGGTAACGTTTAGTAGGGAAACCTAAAATGTGATTAAACCAAAGGGGATACCGAAATTGGGGCAGACATCCTTTCTGGCTCCTGGTTAGACCCTATCCATCAGCAGGCTCAATAAGGCTTTGTTCTTCCCTTCTGTTTAGGTCCCTTGTGAATGCCATTCTTGATGAACTCATTTGCCATATCATCTGAAGGCCTTGAGTGTAAGGTTCAGCTTCATGAGAAAAAGATCCCTCATTGGAGGAGGGCCTTTGCCTCCCTGCATCACCAGCTGCTCTTTGGTTGGCAGGGCACCCCAGCTAGTTTCAGCTGGCCACTTAATGATGACTGCATGCCAGGACATGGAGGCTGCCAGAAGGGAATGGCCCAGCCCTGTTCTCTGACCTAGGTAAGATTTAAAATTGGATTTTATTGCTTGCCTTTGGTTTCTTTTTGCAAACAGACAATTTAATGTGCCTGGGCTCCCAGATATGGCAGCTCTGTGGTCTCCATAGCCGAAAATTTCTTTTTTTTTTTTTTTTTTTTTTTTTTTTTTCCGCGGTACCGGGAACCGAACTCACGACCTTGCGCTTGCCAGGCAGGCGCTTTGCCGCTGAGCTAAATCCCCAGCCCCCTGAATTGCTTTAAAACATTTATTTTATGGTCATGTTGACTGTGGAAGACCAGAAGTTGTACGGTGCCAGATTTGGGGAATAAAGTAGAGGAGGACGGACTGTAATGTTTTTGTAAACCTGCCTCTCCATTGGATAGCCCTGGGCAGAAG